ACATTTTAGTAGTAGTATGGAAATATTTTAGTTTTGATCTCTTGTGAAAAGTTTCATGGAAATAAGAGGAAGGCCTTCATAGTTCCCGGAAACTTGAATACCTCTGAGTCAGGAAAATAACAATTGCAATAGCGTAAGATTATAAAGAATCTTTGCAATTTCACTTAGGGATGTATGTGTGTTGCTTGTGTAGTCTGGTTCAATTCCTCCGCCCCTCTTGGAGAGCCAGGCAAGCTACCGAGAGTATCTGTCCCGCAAGTACCTCGCCCGCACGGCAAAGCCTGGCAAGCTACCTGTGGCGTATTCTATATGCCAAATACAGTAATAACAAGTCTCACAATGGAGACGTTACTGGGCCCGCTCGAGCAAATCGATGAACAACGGGAGGACAGTGTAGTCTGGTAAGAATCAAGAGAGCAACTGTAACACCCCCCTCAACCTTCCCCGTGCTCCTATCCATATAGACCAAATTCTGCTTCTTTGTGGTTGACCATAAAAGAGAGAAAGGAGAAAGTGGAGGAATTTTTAAAGAAGTTCTCAGGAGTTCCTCAAGGACAGATCAAATATCTTGCCACCACTCCCTGGACAGAGCTCAGATGTGCGACTTCCCACCGTCTCCAGGGAGGCAAGAGGTGCTCCCACTGCTGTGCCCAGCAAGAGAAAGATGCGTCTTGGGAAACAGAAGGCCGATCTCTCATAAGTCTCTCATAGGTTTGTCTTACCCAGTTTATGAATCCACTTTGATAACCGTGAGTGCTCTGAGTTGGAAAGGTGTCGGCGAGGAATAAGGCAGGGCAAATGCATCCGCGCTAGAGGAATGTCCATTCTGAGTAAAGTAGCTGTTTCTACTTTTATACCTTGACTTTAAAAAATGTGTTCAATTGATTTATTGTGCACTTCCTGTGAATAGCTAATGCTCTATCGTGAACTGCTAGTCTGCAGCGAGGAGGAGCATGCTGGCTATCAAGGCAGTATCCTTGGCAAAGACGGGCAACCAAACAGTGAATGGCAGTGGACTGTGACCAAGGCAACCTTGAGGGTGCAAAGACAGGGAGAGACAGAGCCCTTGGGAACAGTGACCTGGGAGAGCTCGAAGAGAGGGACTGCTTCCGACAGGAAGTGAAGTCTAGAAAAGCATGGCTTCCTGCAGACTCCTGGGGGAGAGAGCCTGTAAGGAGAATAGAGCAAGTTCAAAGTGACAGGGACAAAAACTGCCCTGAGAAGCAGAAACAGGGTGGCGTACCCTGCAGAGAACAGAGCCAGATGTTGACAGGTGCCCTGGTAATATGGTCAGAAAAACTAGTAAGATCTTGGTGTCCTTTAAACAGAATTGGTGTTGGGGCTGGAGCAATAGCACAGCAGGTAGGGCATTTGCCTTGCATGCAGCTGACCTGGGTTCGATTCCCAGCACCCCATATCATCTCCCAAGCACCTCCAGGAGTGATTCCTAAGTGCAGAGCCAGGAGTAACCCCTGAGCATCAGCTGGGTGTGACCCAAAAAGCAAAAAAAAGAATTGCTGTTTTGGTCTAAGGGCACAAGAAAGCAAAGGGAGTATCATGATTTGATTTATAGTTTATGCAAGTTTATTTGGGTCGCTCAGTGGAGAAGAGGTTTGGGGAGATGAACACGAGCCCACAAATTTCAACTTCATTGCTCTTCTGCATAATAATGTTTGCATTGCCTTCAGAGGGCTGGGCAATAAATCAATCTTAATGTTCCTCAATTCGTTTTGGACCATTCTTAAAAATTAATTTGAAGGGGGGGCTCATATGGTTCATCTATTATCATGGTGGTGGTTAATTGAAATAGAATTGCAGGAGAATTTGAAAAAGAAAGAAGTGGGAGGGAGAGAGTGAGAGAGGAAGGGAAAGAGAGAGAGAGAGAGAGAGAGAGAGAGAGAGAGAGAGAGCATTCTGTGCTCTTTCCATTATACGAAGATAAAAATAAATTTTGATTCTCAGAACTGGCATTTCTCTCCACATTGGCTGGCATAAGTTATAAAAATGACAAATGTTAGCCTTGAAACAGGAAAATAGAATATCAACTACCCTGACACAAGTCATGGCAAGCCATGCAAAGCTAAAACACTGTAAAATTTAAAAAAGGATCCAGGGAGTTGTAATCATCACTATTGTTAAGCACTACGCATATTAGTGAGAAGAATACAGTGAATAATAAAAATCACGATAACTAAGGTGGGCTCACTGATATAAAAATAAGAGAATGAATGTGTCTCTTCAGTGCTGGTAAGACTGATTAATGGTCACAATCAGTATGAGATTTTATGCAAAAATGTAGTTCTTGTACACCATAGGTATGAAAGGTCTCTCTGTCTCTGTCTGTCTCCTTCTGTTTCCTTCTGTCTGTCTTTCTGTGTCAGTCTTTCTGTCCCTCTCTCTCTATGTCTGTCTGTCTCTCTCTGTTTCTGTTTCTTTCTCTGTCTCTCTGTCTCTCTCTGTCGCAGTCTCTGTCTCTCTCTGTCTCTCTGTGTATCTCTGTGTCACTGTCTCTCTCTCTGTCTCTGTGTATTACTGTCTCTATGTGTCTCTGTCCCTGTCTCTCTCTCCTCTCACTGTCTCGCTCTGTGTCTCTGTGTCTCTGTCTCTCTCTGTCTCTCTCTCAGTGGTGGGTGTGGGCATGGTGTGGGCCCCACCAGGCATGCATCGGGGCTTCTCTTAACTGTGCTCAGGATCCTCCTGGCAGTGATTGAATCACAGGCAGGGCGAGCGCCTTAATCCCTGTACTCTCCAACCCTCAAGTGCACATTTTTGAAAGTAGAACCTAGCCATTGATTTAGCACGGTAGCACTGAAAATCTCTTCAAAGGAATCGCCTTGATCCAAATGAATGGTGGTGTCCTTATTTCTGCTGCTTTCACGGAAGTTTCGAGCAACTGTTTGTTTTCTTTTTACCAAGGGTAAAGGAGCTGTTTGAACTGTTTTCAAGGCACTTATGCAAAGAAGGTCTGCATCTTAATTCAAAAGATGTTACCAAATCCTAGTAGAGTCTTATAATAAAGTGTTAATAAGCATCTGAGATAACTAAATGGCAGTGAAAGTGCCCTGAACTTTGCATTTTCAACAGATCAGTGTGCGTAGCACACTTGTAATAAAGACACTTATACAGTCAACCTGCATTTAGGGGCGCAGTAGACCCCAGCCCTGACTCATCCAGGATCCATGTAACTACATGCAGGTGTATGAGCTCATTCAGGGGTCATGTCCAAAACTAAACTATCCCCCCTTCTCCTGGAAGAACAGTATTTATTATAGTAACATCTTTTAAAGCATATCTAACTTCATCAAAGTTGGAATTTAAGCTAATATAATAATAGAAAAAATGAATTAAATTTTAGTCATTTTCCAAATTGGATACTGTGTGTCACCGAGATAAATCTTAGTCACAGATATACTTGTTCATAAATAAAAGAAAATCAAATTCCAAGTTTCCAAGTAACTGAGAGTCCAGGACATGCATCATTCTTAAAAGCAGAACGTCCAGAGCTATGCAACTGTGACAGGGGTTTGTGTGTGGCCTGGTGTCTGTCCAGACCTCTTGACCATCTGTGCTTTAGTTCAGCCCATCATGAGAGTTGGTGTCGAGTAACACCACCACCAACATCCCTAACCTGAGCAGTCAGCACAGGTGTGCGTGCCTGCAAACGAGCCTGCACACCATCGATGTTTGTCTGCAGTTCCTGAGGATGTCCAGCACGCTCACTTTTCTGTGGCAGTGCGTGCATGCTCATCTCAAAATCAGTTTCCAAAAACAGAAAGGAGGCCACCATTTTTGACTTGAAACCACCTGGACATCCTTATAAGACTCATGAAACATTGAGTCTTCCCTGGAATGAGGGGAGACGAGCGGGGATGGAACAGGAGACTGAAACAGGAGGTGGAGAGATAGAAGCAGCCAGCTGAGGAGACTTTGAGAGGCCATGTGGGCACCAGTGAGAGACTGAGATTCCACGGAGAAGACCCAGGGGTCCAGGGCTGCCGAGGAGATTACCCAGGTTTACACGTCAACTCTGTGCTTCTCTGTTAAAATTGCTTCTCGCCCATTTGCATAATCCTTTATATCAGGTGGAACTTTACACAGACTCTGCATTAGTAAAGGATACAGCTTATAAAATCCTCAATCTTTTGAGAATGTTGTTATGTGTAATGAGTGAGATTTTCAATGAATCAATGATGGAATGGAATTGGAAGATTTTAAAAGGGGGGGGTATTTTGTTTGATGAAAGAGTCAAATTCCATCAAATTGGATGAAATGATTTCTATGCAATATTATACACTCATGTTACTTGATCAAAAGTGCTCAAAGTAGACGATAGACCAAACATGATGACCACTTAATACCTGCATGACAGACCACAACACCTTAAAGGAGAGAGAGAGTGTAAAAGAGAATGCACCTGCCACAGAGGCAGGGTGTGGGGATGTGGGGTGGAGGTGGCAGACGGGGTATTGGGAACACTGGTGGTGGAGAATGGCCACTGGATGGGTACTTGATCATTGTATGGATGAAACATAAGCACCAAAGTTTGTAAGTCTGTAACTGTACCTCATGGTGGTTCATTAAAAAAAAAACTATCTTTATAAGATCTGAAGCATTCTACACTCAACAGTAATATGTACTTTGATTTACTGTATCCCTGCACCACGGGCTGGAGCGATAGCACAGTGGTAGGGCGTTTGCCTTGCACGCAGCCAGCATGGCCGACCTGAGTTCGATTCCTCCGCCCCTCTTGGAGAGCCCGGCAAGCTCCCCGTGACATATTCAATATGCCAGACACAGTAACAACAAAGTGTCCGATGGAGACATTACTGGGCCTGCTCGAGCAAATTGATGAACAATGGGAGGACAGTGACAGTGACAGTGATCCCTGCACCACACACTTTATAAGGGGTGTCACTGAGTGCGTTTGTGGTATATCGCTTATGGTTATTTCAAATAACATAAGCAGAATAAGACTAATTGTAGTTTTCCTCGCTTTACAGATCCCGACTTCAAGGACCTTGGAGTTTTAAAACCACTACCAGGTTGGTGAAATATAGATCCAATCATCTTCAGAGGCCTTTGTTTTTGCTAAAAAGTATACTTTGGATTTATTATTTAAGTTCCATGTGCGTGTCTTGGCCTTTTGTTGTTTAGCCTGTGAGTTCGAGACGGGCGGACCTGAAGGGATCGTGGAATCTGTCCAAATCATGAAGGAAGGCAAAGCATCAGCCAGCGAGGCCGTGGACTGCAAGTGGTACATCAGGGCGCCCCCTCGGTCCAAGGTCAGTGGGACGGTGGCACAGAGTTGAAAGTCCGTCTGGGAAATTTGGGGGTACCACCCTGATCCAACAGGACCGGCTCTGGAAGGCTCCAGATGCACGTGGGAGCTGCCACATGGCTTATGTTGAAAGTGGCTCTTCCTGTCCTGTGTGATATAACTTTTAGAATCACAAATAATAATAGGTAATATTATAGTAATATCTATCATTACATATTATATAATATATCATATGATATAACATATATGATATATAGTATATCACATGGTATATTACATAAGTATATAGCATATTATATATTATATATAATAATATAATAAGATGTCACGCGGCCGCATTAGCAGCTGCGCAATTCCGGGAGCTGGGTTTTATAGTCTCTGCGTCTTGGCCATTGATGGGATCAAACTGGCGCTGGCAGCAGCTGGTGGGTGTGACGCCTACCTACTGGAAGATGGGGGTCTGGGTGGAGAAGGCCCAGTCCCAATCTGAGTAGGCTTGGAGACCTCAGCCCTGGGACCCGCATGCCTGGGTTCCTCTACCAGTTCTTTCATGCATGAGGCCCGTCCGGACATTTGGAGAATGGTCCCAGCATGGCCGTGGCTGGCTCCAGAGGTCCTCAGCTGCTGGAACTCGGCTTGGGGCGGGGGGGTGGGGGGGAGAGAAACTCAACCCTCCCCCCTCCAAGGGACCCCGGTGAGGACAGCCAGGCGTGGGGGCAGGAGACTGTGCTGTTCTCCTCCGAGAGCTGGGTTTTATAGTCTCTGTGTCTTGGCCGTTGATGGGACCAACCTGGTGCTGGCGGCAGAGTCTGGCAAACTTCCTGTATCATACTCAATATGCCAAATACCAGTAACAGTGATGGGTCTCATTCTCCTAATCTTGAAGGAGCATTGAGATGGCTCTTTTGAAATCTCAGGGCTAGGAAGAAGGAGACGTTACTGGTGCCTGCTTGAGGAAATCGATGAACAACAGGATGATCATGATTGTGATTATGTATAATATTACCCATTATTATAAATAATGGGCTGGAGCGATAGCACAGTGCTAGGCCATTTGCCTTGCATGCGGCCAGCCTGGCCAACCCGAGTTCGATTCCTCTGCCCCTCTTGGAGAGCCTGGCAAACTACCGAGAGTATCTCTCCCTCACGGCAAAGCCTGGCAAGCTGCCCGTGACGTATTCGATATGCCAGACACAGTAACAACAAGTCTCACAATGGAGACGTTACTGGGCCTGCTCGAGCAAATCAATGAACGACGGGAGGTCAGTGCTATAGTGCTACATTATAAATAATACTAGGTAACAGGAGGAGACTCCAGTGCAGCTCTTTTCTATGCAGAGACCATGCTGGTGAGGCAGCACTCGAGACACAGTTATGCTTAAACCTGCATCTGCAGCCCATTTGCTTTTTAACCCCAGCTCTGGAGGAAAATGCCAGTGACTTCACTCTCCTTTGTCTGTGACATAGCCCTGAAAGCCATGTTAAGGCAGGGAGTGGTGGGGGCAGTCAGGGCTATTTCAGGGGGAGCAGACCTGGACAGTGGGTTTTCACCAAACCCCTGGGGGTCATTAATGAGGTCAGAGTCCCCACATTCTTCACAGAGTCCCCCAAGTTTACCTTAGTGAAAATCCCAGGAACTTGTCAATAGAAGAAAGAGCAAAACATTGCTGGGGATGACTCAAACACACACACACACACACACACACACACACACACACACACACACAATTTAGGTTATATTTGTAATACTTGACTGAAGATTTAAATGTTACCAGTTCATTTATAAAATGTAAACATTTTTAAAGAAAGTGCCTTGTGGGCCAGATTCACACACTCACAACCATCCTGTTATTTGTCGATTGCCTCGAGCAGGCCCCAGTAAGGTCTCCTTCGTCCTAGCCCTGAGATTTTTTTAAAAAGGTGCCATATTAAGGCTCTTTCAGAGTTAAGAGAATGAGATTCTTCATTGTTACTGGTATTTGGCATATTGGGTACGCCACGGAGAGTTTGCCAGACTCAGCCATGTGGGCAGGTTACATTCGGTAGCCTGCCAGTTTGTCCAAAGTAGGAATGAGATGATAAGATGTCGCGCGCTTCCGGGAACTGGGTTTTATAGTCTCTGAGTCTTGGCTATTGATGGGATTACACGGTGCCAGGGGGCCAGTTGGTGGGTGTGACCCCTGCCTTCTGGAGTTTGGAGGATCCGGGTGGAGGATACTCAGCCCCGATCCGATCCGAGTAGGCTTGGAGATCTCAGATTCAAATCCAGGTTACTTGAGAAACACATCTTTTGAGTAGCCATCTTTATTCGGTGGTGGGTCACTCATAGATATCGCGGATTTGTAGTTTTGTGCCAGTGATCACCACTGTAGATCACATACTGAGCTTTGTTCCCATTGATTTATGGTCATTCTTTGGCCACAAAATTACAAACTCGTGTTAATGATGCATTAAATTTAGTTAATTATGTATTAGATGCATTAACTATGTATTACATGTTGTTAACTATGCACTGAGGTTGGAACTGTTCGTTCCTTAATTAATTGATTTAGAGATTCTGTAAACTCCAACTGTTCCTCTGAAAACAAGAGGGAGCTAGCCAGCCCTCTTATGTCAAGGCCACACTATAGTTTGCTGTCAAATATGGAGTTAAAGAATCTATGGGATAAGAACAAATCACTGAGGTGGTGACAGGACTTAGTGGACTGAGACGAAAGGCCCAGTGTCTCTGATATAGTTAGTCACGGCAAGGTCCAGTGGAGACCAGATTTCTCACTAAATCTTCAAGAGAACCGGTGAGAGAACTTTCCAGAATGAGTGGAGGACACTGGGGTCCAAAGAGAGTTTGCTATTTGGGGATTTAAAATTATTTGTGTTGGGCCAGATGGTGTGAGACCATAAGAATGTGGATTCTGCCTGAATGCAGTACTGCTGTACCGGGAAAAGTGCGGATCTGACAAGGGGCTTCCCTGGTGAAGGAAGCATGAGAGCTTGACCCTGGATGGACACTTTCTTTGGAAGCTGACCAGCAGGGGCGCCAAGAGACAGTGGGAAGGATGCTTGCCTTGCATGCGACAGGTCTTGGTTCATTGTCCAGCCTCCCGTATGTATATCCCCCTGTGCTCCCCAGGAATGGTTCCTAAGTACAAAGCTTGGAGTATCCCCTGAGCACACCAAATGGAGCCCACAATTAAAACAAACAAAAATTAACAAGACAACCACAAATCCCTAGGAAGTTAGGAGTAATAGTCTCAGCCAACACAGCTCCTGGCAGTGACAGATGAAGGATTCATCAGCGTCTATAGGCGCAGTCTGGTGGCTGGACACTCTGCCAAAGCAAAAGCTAAGAGTCATCTTTTAGGACATGTTTGGTCTTTCTTCAGTTGGCATGTCCCCAGGGTTGTCACCATTGGAATTGGGGGACACTTATCCGAAGCTTGTGTAGAAGAGATTCAGAGTCCTCAGTCCCGATTCAGTTCTGTCACCAGCAAGTCTCTGCATCCGGCAAGTCTTTGAAACAACTGCAGCATAAAAATGGCTCCAGCAGTTCCTCCATTAATACATCCAAAGGCTATTGCTGAAGTGAAGCAGCAAATACCCACAGGTGTCCTTCGGTCTCGATGGAACGTCTAGCCAGGAGTGCCGGAAGATGTGAGGTCTACTGCAGCAGGTCACGCTCTCTCAACAAAATCCACAGGGTCACAAGCCAGTGCTGTTCATAGTCCTTCACCACAGAAATGAAAGGTTAAAGTTCATTTCCCCCAGTACCCATGGAGCCACTCCTTGTAACCAGCAATCCTGTCTCCGCCCAAGAGGGGATCCTGAGGCACTGTCACACTGACTATTGTATTCCTGGTCGTAGACAGTGAATTGGTGTCCTTATATGAACCCGGGACCACAATACATAGTCACCGTTACACACCTTGGCAATCTGTGACCTAAAGGGGAAGCAGCCAAGTTGGATGAAGATGGTACCACTGTGACAGGCTCTGTTTGGTGGAAGGTTGGAGGGTGGGAAGCACTTAGGATAACTGGAGAAAAGCAAACTGGAGATTACTGCCCATGGGTCTTTATGTTTGTATGGAATCCTAGAAGCATCTGGAAATCAAGGACCAAAGCTCAACTTGAGGTGGCTCCTGGGGTATCATTGAATGCCCACTGGTGATTGAACCAGATTGCACAAAAGTGCTCAATAGTTCCCTGGAGTTCTACTATAATTTATTTAGGATATTTAATGCTTCCGAGTCTTGTGACAAGTAGAAATGATAATATCTTATATTTCTTTTGTTTTAGAGAAATAAAAGAGATAGTTACCTTAGCTTGACAGTGATGGTCTAGAAGTCTTAGAATTTGGAATACTAGAGCTGGAATAAATGTTGAAAATCTGTAGCCGATGGGGCAGATGAGATGAAAGAACTCATGGAAGATAACTGAGGTCCTTGTGATGGGGACATGTGCACCTGGAAACAACTTCACATTACACGGAGTACAGGGGATTGTGCCACATAATTCTGAATCTGGTTTGTAAGAGGACCGTGACCAGAGTGTTCTGGGAGATCACGTTGTGATAATTCTTTGAATGACAGTGTCATGAAGTCTGTGACTTAATGTGTTTCTAAATACCCAATGTCAAGCTATAGCTAAACTACTGTAAAAAGGACATCGAGAGCAATGAACATACCAGTTATCATTCAGGAGAAGAAAAGAGAATTTTAGCTCTGTCTGTATTGTTTTAAGTACTGCAGTTTATTTGAACACTTGAAAGTGAAAATTACAAATTTTGGTTCAACGTAAAGAAGACTTCTGTTTTTGTTGTATTAATAGAGCTGCCCCCAAGTAGAAATGCTTTCCGCAGAAGGCATTCAGATAAGTTTGACAGGAATTTTGTACAATACTTAAAGAGTCAAGAAATGCTGGAGCACAGATAATATTAAAATATTTTCAAGACCAAGATCTAGTTTTGCAAATTAATCTGTAATAAGAGACTTATTCAGATGACTGACT